ACATCTACACGTCTTAAATACTTCCAGGGATGGCGACTCAACCACTTCCCTGGGCAGCCTGTTCCAATGTTTAACCACTCCTTCACTAAAGAAATTTTTATTAAGTTCTCTTTTTGTTAAAAAATGCTTATTTGTACTCTGATCTTACCTCATTTTCACCTCCAGTTCTCAGAACTTTTAATAGTTTAGCTAGACTGAGCACTTTGTTCCTTCTTAGACTTGTTTCCTCATTTGCCTGCTGTAATCAAGTCTCTCCATAACCTTTAAACTGCCTGAACAGACTGATTTTCTAATTGCTTTCACTGTTTCCCTGTTCTTTATTTATCAGTCTTACCTCAATTCTTTTTTTTTCAACACCAGCTTCGGTTTTGAATAGCAGAAGGGGACAAAGTATTCTAATAACTACAGCACTTCTTTCAAAGAAAAAGGTAACAAAACCTCCCTACTGCCTGGCATTTGTTTCTGTCTTATTAAACTGATAGATCATATGGAATTATTCATGTTCTCTATGGTCCTGTAATTTCAGACTAAAAAAAAAAAAGTAATAAAGACTATATGTAATTCTTCTGTTTCGAAATGTTCCCCAAGCTATTATGTAAATGTTCTGGGCTGGTCTTTTAAACTAATAATTTTGCCACAGTTCCTCAAAACAATTTATTTTTCATTTGCCCTGACAAACACGTGCCATTTGCTGATAAGGAGGATTACCTGCAGCTGGATGTTTAACATGGCATGCTTCTTTCCGAAAGTAAAGCTCTTCTTCAAGTATTTCTTTAACTCTCCTAGATGGCTCAACATACACAAATTTCTTCCCTGTTAGTAAAACATATTACAAAAAAACCCAGTTATTTTAAATCCCCTGAATGCTAACGTGCTTTGCCGAACGTAATGTCATTTTATGCTGCTCTAATTCTGTCTTTAATACACTTTAAGACAAATCATTTACAAATATAGTGTTCAGCCAGGCCCTGCTCCCCAACATCAAGCGATTCCTCACGACAGGGCCGTGGTGGGTAAATCTGAAGGGGGAGTGCTGGTGGGCTGCAGCGCGGGAGCCCAGGCCACCCCAGGGCACTCGAGGAGACACGGCCGCTCTCTCTCCCCGTGGCGAACAACCCAAGGCAGGTCCGCGTATGGAGGAGGTCTCCAAGGATACGTCCTCGCTGAAAGAGATCTCCAAAGAGCTGATGAGTGATTAGGGCACCTCATGGCGGCAGGGGAGTCCCTGCCTGACGGGGCAGTACCCACACCCCTGCCGTGGTGGGGCGCACGGTGCCGCGGGAGGCGAGGGACCGCCAAGCAAGGTGGACGCGGGGGATTGCGGGAGTGCTGCGGGGGGAAAGGCTCGGCTTCCCCGAGGGGACACCCCGGAGGAGGTGGCAGGGGAGCGGGAA